TCCGACTACAGGGTGTGCATAAAGTTTCCACATCTTCAGTGACAATTACTTTCCAACTTTATAGAGTCGCTTCTCAACTGGTGCTACTTTTCGTGGGAATTTTTAATCTGACAAAATAGTGCCGCCTTGACCTATTGTCAACCATCCTAAGCACCAGGCAGCGGATTCAGGACAACATTTGGACGGCACATCTCACACAAATAGGCGGAGAGATTTTAGGCCCACCCTTTAATCATCATCACACCTTTAAAATGGACCACGACAACGCAGTTAAAATATCTTCACAATAGACAGTAGAAATAACGAAAAGTAAAATTAAAAAAGTTTTCATTGTTAACTAAATTTATGCAAATGAAATGAAGAAAATTGTATCTCTGTTAAAACTCAATACACCACTATTTGGCTGTACCAGTAGAAAAATGTATGTGAAAGAAACGCCTCATAAATTTGCGGTTAAATGATGATCTTGTCTCCAACCAAAATATGATAGGTCAGCAGTAATGCGAAACCATGTGTATTTTATCCTAGTCTTATTACATCATTTGTATGAAATTCTTAAATTCGTAAATTCTTCTCTTTTTTATAACATTTACACATGTTATAAAAATTTGTAACACCATTACCATACCATCGATTGCTTCGTCGAGGATGACGAAGTTTTAAAGTTTGGGAGTGTTGTGGGAGCATGAAAATGCTCTTTTGAAAACAACCTTTTGAAATAACCCAATCCTATTACCGTCTAGCATTGGATAAATGTACCTCTAACAATGGAGGTCTCCCAGCGTACGCTCTCCGATTTGGACACAACTAGTGTCAATCGATCACAAATATAATTAGTATGAAATTTGCAAATGGCACTATCTCCCAATGCGAAAGTTTGGCGGATATATTTGCATAAAAAGAGAAGAAAACGCACTCCAAGGCTGACAAAGTTTTCAATTTCCAAATTTCCTGCGCATTTTTCCCGCTTTGGATGCAAATATCTCCGCCAAACTTGCGCATTGGGAGATACATAGTGCCATTCGCAAATTTCATACTAATTAAATTTGAAATCGATTCACACTGGTTTGGTCCAAATCTGTTAGCATACGTTGGGAGACCTCCATTGTAAGTCGAAGTTTGTCCTCGATATACGAAGAATAATTTATATGCAGATAACTTACCTATACGCAAAAGAATTCACAGTATAGTCACGGTGAACCTAACAAAACCAATGGACCAAACAAAGAAGAAGAGATCCAGACCACCACCGGATCAAGATAAGTAGGTTAGTTCAACAACTTAGGCAAGTATAAATGAATAAAGTTTTCAGTAATTAGGATAAGAATTGCAAAAGAATGAACATTGTTTCATAAGAGAGAGTTATCATAATACCAAAATATAACTCTCCCGGCTTGACCCGACAAATGCCTGCCCTAGGGCTTCCCCCCAGGATTTAGCCTCCAAGGTTTATGATTAGACAGATGCAGATTTCAAGGTAATCTTTTAACATTACGAACAATTTATGGCTATGTTTCCGGCTCAGGAAAATAAAACATATAATGAGCTCCACGAATCTTTGTTGGGCCAAATGCAACGCACCCTTTGCGGGCGACAAAATGCGAATCCTAATTGGACCACATATTCAGAAAGCCTATCTGAACCCATATCAGAATTTGCATCAACCGATTGTTCTGCATCAACCTGACAACCCGCAACCCAAATTACTCTAGCAAGAGGAATATATTTTCTTTTCAAAAAAGGTATGAATCTGCCAGGTTACATGATACATATATGTAACGGTCAAATTGTACGCGGCCAAAACGTCGAGAATGTAATACTTAATTTGCAACGATGTATGTGTAATACGTGTAATTTATCATGGGAAAGGACCCATCCACAAGTTCCTATGAAATGAATGCGTTTCTGGTTCTTTCCAAGGGACCATTGCTAAGATTTTTCAACCGTGTACCGTACAATAGTTGGCACTTGAGCAACATATGTATCTAGCTAGAAAATTTATCTGCCAAGTCGCATTGTCCAGAAAAACGTGATTGGCGTATCTTCGCAATAAGTATTAGAAATAACAAAAATTATAATCAAAACAAATTTCATTGTAAACCTAATTCAAATTACAAATTATGTCTGAAAACACAAAAGGACCCAGTCCATCGGATCCAGATTATTATCTTCTCTAAAATAGGTTAAGAATAGGCTATCATAGGTTAAGTTATTTATTTGTAATCAAAGAACATATGAACGGAAAGGAATAAATGTAGCTTTGGAAGTAGAAATATAAGTGTGGCGAAAAAGCGGAACATTTCATTATTACCAAAATAATACCCAAAAATCCCCGAAACACACCCCATGCTTTTACTCATGTCAATCAATATGAATTACATAAGTATAAATCCCAATACCACTGGAAGAACAGTTAAGAGAAACTTAAGTAATTGTCCGGAAGAAGAGAAAATTAGGGCAAAGAGAAGGGCCAAGTTGTCGGAACCACGACAACTCAACCCTTGGCACACATGAAAGGATTCCACTTATTGTTGCAAAAATGGAGCCGGAGTGCCAGGACAGCATCTTTGGATAAAGGTTTGCAAAAATATTTACTTGGTGTAACTGTATAATACGGAAAACGCCCCAAAGTCGTATCCCGGGAAGACTAACCAATATTCATTTCTCCTCTTATTAACAACTTTTCCCCTGGACTCACATGAATCGAATATGTACTTATGTATTAAGGCCACACTTCAGAGCTTGGATAATCGGCATTTATAATTCCTCATTTGCGTTTTCTAAAATTAACATTACCATATTTAGCCTTTTGGCAATCCACTCTTAATATAGGTACCTAACTTTTAACCCTATTTCTAAATTTGTTTAAGTTTACAAAATTTCGTCATATCCTTCGTCTTTTGGCATGACTCCAGTTTTAAGTACCTACTATTTATTTTGGTCCTGGAGGCTCCATTTAAAATTTTCTAACCATTACCATTTTTGGCTTGTTGGCGCACCCACTAATATTTAGGTCTCTAACCCTTTTACACCCTGGTTTATTCGAGCAAAATTCACCATTTGGGATGTTAACCACATCCCCACTTTCAGTAATGGCGTTTATACATCAACAATTCGACCTGTATAGACAAAATTGTGTCCCGTCAAAAGCTTTAGAGGCAAAATCCTCAAAAAATAGAATCGAAACATAACTGGGCCATTATGCAACCAATCGAACGTGTAACATGGAGGCTCAATTTTACGTCGAACCTTTCCGTGTGATAGCTTTAACTAAGACTTTTTAGTGTGTGTGTACCATTTTGGGTACTGATAGGTTTCATAATCAAATCAGTTACATATTTACTGTTGGACTGAGGATAAAGTTTACCCTACCGAATACCGTACGGTAGTTTAATTGTGCTGCAAATTCGAGTGTAGAACTGAGCTGATGTTTGTATAATTAAGTAGACTTGTGAATAGGGGGCGCTACCATGTATACGTGAATTGTCGCCTTTCGCCATAACCCGTTAATTACGTCACTTTAAAAGAACAGTTACATATCATAGAAAAAAGATTGGAGGAGCATAATATAACGATGGTTATCCCCACGGAACAACGATTCTCACATTATCATCATGAGTTAACTAGATGCTCTTTCAATCAGACACAAGGTCTAATAGAAATTCAGCTTGATATACCAATTAAGCATATGCATGAAAAGATTGCTGAAATCTTTATTCTGCCATTTTATCATAAAACGTCTCCAGGAATCGCACAAATTTGCCATGTTAAACATAGTCACGATTTTTTAATAATCAAAACCCAAATTCCGTTCGGCAGACACAAGTCTTTGTAAAATCTTAAATTTTTTCACTGACTTCTCATGCTACTGAATATACCGGGTGTGTTAAGGCTGTGTTAGCCCCTTAAGGCACACGATTTGATGACCTGGCTTGTCGGTTCATCAAACAAATCCAGCAGAATATCTTGCATTTAAGCTTGGCTGGCCTAACTCATATTATCGATTACCTATTACTCAACCACCCGCCTCTTCTGTAATTGCTTGTAAAAAAGATCTAAGATTTAGCCACTTTCCAAACTCCAAAACTCAACATTCCTAGTCGGTGGAGCAAAATTAACGTCGCTGAAATTGTATAAGTCAACAATTACCATAAGAACTTATACCGCAGGGTATAAATTACAACGAGATGCAAGATGAACATGTATAGAAGGATTAAACCCCTTCAACCGCAACAGAAATGGTGGACCGAAAATCATCCTCACCCTCTTACCATCGCGCATAAATACATCAAATTGTAAAATCCAATTCTGCCACTACCCTTGGCATAATTTCAACCCTATCCTCACAAAGGAAAAATCTAACCGCAAATATCTGTATGTCATGCAATATCGTAAATACGTTTAGCTTTCCTTTCTCTATGGAAAATCATAATCCGAGCATCAGCTAAGATCCGACAAAAAGACAAGACACTTTTAAAATTGAAAATCGATCAATACGCACGCAGGATGCGGTCTGAGACGTACATACACGTACTTTTCCGACGCATTTACGACGTTATACATATATTCAAATATTAATATACATATGTATGTATGTACATGTAAATATGTAGGGGAAAATGTGTATATGTATGTATACAATATGTACTAATAGGTTAGTACTTCTTTCTGACAAATGTGCATATCCTTTTTATGAATTAAACTCCAATTCGCATCTCGCGATATCATCACATGGAGTACATTAGCCGAATTATTTTATTATTTGACACCACTTATTTTTATTTTGGCGTAAAAATCATACGAAATTGAATAATTTAAACGCCAAAACTAAGATGAGTGGTGTCAAATAATAAAATAATTCGGCTCATTCGGCTAATGTACTCCATGTGATGATATCACGAGATGTGAAACGGAGTTTACGATGCGCAAGCCACATATATACTTATGTACATACATGAATAAATAAGTATGTCAAGATAAATACATACATATGCACGAGGTAACAAAATATGTCAACCTATTTATGTAAAGATAATGTCTATCCTCTAAATACTTAAATATCGGCACATCTAAATATATTTACTTATGAATAATCTTAACTGAAGATGTAATTCTTGTCCTGCGGCGATAATGTCATTGTTGTCCCAACGCGAAGAGTAAATTCTTTTCCTATAGCGAAAAATAAATTCACCATTGGTCGATATCGCCCTCGTTTCCTTTCTTGACGATCTAAAAATATATATCTTCCTGAATAATAAAATTCCTGCAATAAATAATTTATCAAAAATTTTAATTTTGAAACTTTCATACTTAAGAATGACATCGTTTAGAATAACGTCTCTACATTTGCTTTGAATTTTCAGTCTGTCCGTTAAGAGAAGGTGATTAGTTGACCTGCCTCTACGTATGTGAAAAAAAACAATGTGGGTATTCACGTCAACTTCGTAAAAGACGTCGCTTCGCAACATATCTTCGCAACTTGATGTTTGCGAAGAGTTGCGATGCGACAACCAATCAGATTGCTTCATTTTTTAAGAAACATGCGAAGCAACAGAGCATCTATTATCGTCGTAAACTATTTTTCACAAACTCGTCGTCAAGTGAAATTTTAATTTCTCCTCAATTTTGGAAATGTTGCCAGACAACCTTACACTTGTCCGTCGAATGAATTATTTTTTGCAAATCAATTTACGCATTTTCATGTAAAATTAAGTCGTTCACGACACCGATTTTGCAAACACCGCAAAGTTGCGAAGATGTGTTGCGAAGCGACGTTTTTTAGTGACGTGAATACCCACAATGTCAATAAAAACACGGATAATGGAAAACGCAAGCATTGGAATATAAATTTTGGAACCTTTTCTTGTTTTTTTTTTTAATTCCGAAGCAACGTTTCAGCTTGTCCTTGGTCTTGTTTCTTCCACCACTTTTCACTCTTGGCAACTAGAAAATGATACAAATATTAAAATTTGGCTTAATTTTTGCGTAAATTATTACGCTTCAAATTTATTTATACATATATATAAACTCACAACAATTGTTGCAAATTTAGCAAAATCTTGACAAATTAGCGAGATTTTTGAAATAAATTATGGGATTTTTGTTGAGGATTATATTTATGCAAATAAGAATGTTTTTTTAACAGCTTAAATACTTATTTAGGAAGAAGGACTTTAACGTGAGCACCCCAATTGTTAAAAGAGGGTGGATTGTTTTGTAAATATGTGCCAAAATCGCTAAAATATGAGTTTCATATTTGCAAGATATGTCCGAAAACTCCAACAAATTCAAATCTAATAATCTCGATTTTTTGTACTTGGGAAATTCATCTCACATTGTCGAAATATTTACAATAAATAAATGAATTTAAATCATCTTTCGATATTTAAAATATTGAAATTGTTATTTCTGGATATTTAGGATATTTAAATTATTATTCTTGATGTGAAAAAGATGTACGCATTTTTTCCAAAAGTATCAAAATATTTAAAATATTTACATGTCTAAAAAAACCTAGAAATATGAATTGATCCATATTTAAAAATTTTTGGAAATTTGTGTAACTTTTGAGTTAGGGAACACACGCACAAAATTAATTATCGAATTAAATATTTGCGATTAAATACAAAGCCACCCTCATATATGACCTTAATTTTGCCTCTCTATGTATGTAAATAATTAAAGTTATTATTAGTACTTTTATATATGAAGTTTATTTTTTTCCGAAATCTAACAATGCTGGTCTTTTACCTAGTACCCGCTAAAGTTCTGTTATAAGATTTCTCGGGTAAATTAAGCAGGCAAACCAATTTTTTGGAAAGTTGTACTATTTTTTATTGAAATCTCCATGCAATTATCCATCAGAAACCATGTTTCGAAAACTTTTGTGACCCATGGTGCCAAAATGATAGATCAGCGAACATGGCCTATTTCAATTTTTCAGCAACATTTTAGTGAACATAAAAAATCGACATTTTTAAATTGTTCAGTAAAAATCGGAATTGATTGCAAGATGGTCGACCGCACCATAAAATGATGCAGTGACACTGGGAGTGTCGACGACCGCAAAAGAAGTGGAACGGAACAGCCAAAAAGGTCACCAAAATTACCCAAGGCGCGTAAAACTGGATTCGTCCGAATCTATGCCGAAGCCTAAGAAAATTTCCCTCACAAGTGAATGTATGAAGTAAAACCATGTCCCAGGCCCATAAACTGGACCCTGGACTTATGCCTTCAAGACAAGAGGAGAAACACTTCCTAACTACACGCCAAGTAAAAACAGACCCTTCAGAACCCGATCACGCGGTACGCGTTTGAATAGTGGAAACGGATATTTTCAACAAATGAGCCAAACTTTATGGGTGAGCCCAAATAAAATAGCAAAAATACCGTTTCTACACCCCACCAGTCTAGACTATTCGTAAAAATTTCAAAAATGTTCATCTTATCTACCATCCTGGTTTTATGATTTTTTTATTGGACATAAGTTGGACTGGGTCTAAAAATAGAATTTGCTTTCTCTGGGGGTGAAATTTCGTATCAAAAATTATTTTTTTCAGTTTTCAAGCGAATTATGAAACCCGTGAACCACAACGTCTTCAAAAACAGCGACGTGACATTCAAGCAGGGCTCCGGTCCTGCTCATGTAGCCAAGATGGTAATTGGGTGGTTGAAATCCCAAATTTCTGACTCCATTTCAGATCAAGAAAAATATTCACTGTCGCCGAAGTTTAGGCTTCTGAACTATGATATATTTTCCAAACTGTAGCTATGTGTGTGTGCTAGACTCCACATACGTTTGAAATCCATAAAAAATTCAACGGCCTAGAAATCAGGCCAATCTCTCCAGGAACGCTTGCGTACTCCGATCGCTTGGTGTATACCAAGACTCCTGGCTCGTGTCGCTCTAAAAGATTGACATTTTGAAAAGTGAATAGTGTTTCTTATACGAAATTTCATTGGCTTTTCAGTAATGCACTTATTTTTTCGAAATTCAATAAACTGGGTTCGCTACAAATGAGTTTTTCTTATAACAGTTCTTTTGCGGGTACTGGGTACGTGTAAAACTTAGATCCCCATGGGAAGAGTTGTTTTCGAATTTTTTAATTTGAGCTATAATTCGAAAAAATTAGGGAATTTTTAAAAACCGAGGTTTGGCTAGAAAAATGTTTACAATTCGCGCCTCGTACTCAAATTAGAAATATGAAAAATGCAAAAATACGCGTAGGCGTAAAATACGAGTCAATTTCATGCAAAATCCTTGTTCTCGTTGTACATATACTAATTAATTAATCTAGTAAACAAAACTTACTTACTTTCTCCCGTTCAATCAAACTTATTGTTTACACAAGTTTGTAGGAAGCGAATTTTTTGGAAAATACTCCCCCCCCTCCCCTCCCCCAATACAGTACAAATTCCACAAGGGGGATTCACACTTTCAAAATACTTTGAAATGCTATTTTGGACTCGAACCAACTGAGAAGTAACGAGTCCAAAAATCAGTGTACGACTGTTCCAAACCACACAGCATTTATTAAGTAGCTTCAGCTACTTTATGTGAAGACTTTGTCTGTCTGTCTGTCTGTCTGTCTGTCTGTCTGTCTGTCTGTCTGTCTGTCAGCAGGATATCAGGAGAACGGATCGAGATAATCGAAATCGGTTTTCGCCATCATACATAGGACCCCAGGGGGAGGATCCTATCAACTTTTGTGGGCAACCGGACCACACCCCCTTTGGCGACAGGGGGTGTGGTCGGGGCAAAATGAGATTTTTAGTGCAATTTAATCTATAGGTGAAATAGAGTAAAATTATGTGTTCCGGAGTTGTGCCACACCCCCTCGGCGCCAGGGGGTGTGGTTGGGGCAAAATGAGATTTTTAGTGCAATTTAATCTATGGGTAAAATTAGGTGAAATTGAGTGAAATTAAATGAAATTAAGTGAAATTAAGTGAAATTGAGTGTTTCCCCGATTTTGCCGCACCCCTTCGGCGCCAGCGGGTGTGGTTGGGGCAAAATGAGATTTTTAGTGCAATTTAATCTATAGGTGAAATAGAGTAAAATTATGTGTTCCGGAGTTGTGCCACACCCCCTAGGCGCCAGGGGTGTGGTTGGGGCAAAATGAGATTTTTATAAAAAATTAATCTATAGATGAAATAGAGTGAAATTAAGTGTTCCCGAGTTGTTCCACACCCCCTCGTCGCCAGGGGGTGTGGTCGGGGCAAAATGAGATTTTTACAAAAAATTAATCTATAGGTGAAATAGAGTGAAATTAAGTGTTCCCGAGTTGTGGTGGGACTGTTTGGGGTGAAGTACGTCTGAAGCTACTTCCGTATGCGCGTTTGCGACGGTTTATTTACATCTTTTTCCGTTCTATTTTTATCTCTCCCCCATCCCCACTTTTCATTTTACCCGAATTTTACATTCGTACGTATGCACATGTGGTCTTGGAGATTTTCAACTTACCTACAATCGCATTGCATTGCAGGGGGGAAGTTTATTTTAACCCGTGTTTTTTTCATTCATGTCAATGTAAATATGTACACGTTGTAAATACGCAAATAATTAGAATATGCAAACAAATACATACATACATGCATTTAATCGTCCCCGCCAGCTCAATCCCAATCAAATTGATAAATTCATAACAAAAAGCTATTAAACGTTATACAATCTACAATTATAATAGAGTAGAGAGGAATGCAATGTCATAGTTTAGAATGGAATTGTTCAATTTTGTTTTGAATACATTAAAATTATGCGATTCCTTTAATTCGGTAGGTAATTTGTTCCATGCAATAGTTGGAGTGACATGAAGGGTTTTTGAACTCATGCTATTTTTTGGACAAAAGTTGACTCTCCTCAGTTAGGTAGATGCGCGAGTAGGATGGCTATGAAAATGAGAATTTTTTTCAAGGAAGGTTTCAAAGAAAGGTACAGGATTTTGTTGTGTCTGAAAGAAAAAAACAAAAAACTTTAAAATAATAGTTTTCTTTAGGAATAATTTACATAGTACAGAGGCCCACCACAAGAGAGTTTTCCCAGAACCGACAGCGAAACAGCAATTGCTATTCTTGGGGGTCATGGAAGCAATCTTGATCAAAAAGTGAAAGTATTTTTATAAAATCACTCAAGGCGAGAGAAACAACTGCCAATTGAAAAATAGTTTTTAAAATCAAATTTTTCGCCGCTAAAGTTCAAAAGAGGTGAAGTAAATCTGTTTTTGTGGTAAAACATTAATTTTATGTGGCGAAAAGCATTGACCTGTATTCCCCCTAATTATTTATACATTTTTATTGTGTAAGTCAAAATTTTGAAAAATTTTCAAATTAGGGGTTGACCCTTCTCATAAGACGGATTGAGTAAGTTATGCACGGTGCGGTTGAGGCTGAGATGATGAGAAACTCGCGGCCTCCTTCACTCTATGGTCTGGATGGAGGTAAAGGTTTCTAACTCATCCGCACCATGCATAACTTACTCAATCCGGCTTATGAGAAAGGTCAACCACTAATTTCAAAATATTTCAAAATTTTGATTTACACATCAAAGATGTATAAATAATTAGGGGGAATACAGGTCAATGCTTTTCGCCACATAAAATTAATGTTTTACCACAAAAGACACATTCACCTCCCCTTTTTTGAACTTTAGCGGCTAAAAATTTGATTTTAAAAACTATTTTTCAATTGGCAGTTGTTTCTCTCCCCTTGAGTGATTTTATAAAAAATACTTTCACTTTTTGATCAAGATTGCATGCATGACCCCCCAAGAATAGCAATTGCTGTTTCGCTGTCGGTTCTGGGAAAACTCTCTTGTGGTGGGCCTCTGTACTGTTAATAATTTATAGCTTTTTACAATATTTACATAATTATACTTACAATGGAGGTCTCCCAACTTACCCTCACAAATCTGAACCAAACTAGCGTCAATCGATCATAGATATGATTAGTATGAAATTTGAAAATGGCACTATCTCCCAATGCAATGGTTTAATGGAGATATTTGCATAAAAAGAGGAGAAAAATGCGCAGCAACTTCGGAAGATGAACAATTTGCCAGCTTTGGGGGTACATTTTCTCCTCGTTTTATGCAAATATCTCGAGCGGATAGTTCAATTTGCAAATTTCATCCGAATTATATTCATGATCGATTGACGCTAGTTTGGTCTAAATCTGTGAGTATAGGTTGGGAGACCTCCATTGTCAGCATGTCCTCAGTAAACACGTACCTATTTAGGCTTAGAAGTCTTATTTTTAAAATTATTTTTGTAGTAGGTCAACCCATTTGCGTACGTTTCATCATAATCTCCTCCACAACGATAACCCACGTGGTTGTAAACACTTGTCTCAAGGGCGCAAGTAAGTCCTCTACAACAATCAGCATCTACTTGGCAACCCCAACTTTTGTGTACGCAAGTACCTTTCCCAACATAAAGAAAATCCACCCGGGTTTTTGAGTCGGTAGAATACAAGCAAAATCCATAGCTAGCCTTAAAGTAGTAGAAATTCTCGGCAGCACAGTGTTTGTACAGTTTTGGTTGTCCCGCCTTTTGTGGAGGATCTAGGCATTGGTCAGCAGTGGTGCAACGATCACCCTCCTTTCCCTGTGGAGGTTCCTGGAAGTATGAGATATTTATGTAAATATGTATTTGTAGTTGAGAATACATAGAAACTCTAAGAAACGCCGTAACTAACAATGGAGGTCTCCCAACGTATGCTCATAGATTTTGACCAAACTAGCGTCAATCAATCACAAATATAATTAGTATGAAATTTACAAATAGAACTATCTACCAATGCGCATGTTTGGCGGAGGTATTTGCATAAAAAGAAGAGAAAAATGGGCAGCAAATTTGAAAAATACAAATTTGTCAGTCTTAGGGCGCGTTTTCCCCTCTTTTAAATGCAAATAGCTTTGCAAAACCTTCGCAATGGCAGATAGTTTGATTTGCAAATTTAATACTAATTATATTTGTGGTTGATTGACGCTAGTTTGGTCAAAATCTATGAGCATACGTTGGGAGAACTCCATTGTAAGTTACTTATTACCAGGCGGAGTATCTATGCGACTCAACCGCATGGTAATTACTTTATTTTTGAGTTGAAGATATTTTGTTACCAAACCGGTAATAATCCCGGTCGCGAAATTTGACAATATTGCTAGTTGGTAACTAATTTTCTACCACTCAAGAATAAATTCATTACCATGCGGTAGAGTCACATATGTATGTGTAGATACTCCGCCTGGTAATAACCGGGTTTCTTAGAGTGTACATATTTTTGGGTAAAAATTAATTATGTAATCTCACGGAATTAACACAAAGCCATGTGGTGGGCTAGATGATAGCAAAAAGTATCATAGTACCCCGCATCCTCGACCGGGAATGGTTTGCAAGTACTTATTTAGAAGGGCTCAGAGCTAGAAGAATATTGAAATTATATATTTAGCAAAACCTAATCTTATGGAGATGGGGATAATTATGTAGTTTCGAAAATTTAGACCTGTCCATAAATTAGTCTCAGTCCGAATAAATTCTGACTCGATGGTAGATGTATTTTTCAGAACGTGTTTTATTACATATTGTTTTCGATTTACGTAAATGTGGAACAGGAAATACTTAAGTGTCGTTCTATATTTTTGTAGTAACAATGGGGTGAATTTAATTGATAAAAAGTTCTAGAAGAGGACGTGACGTCTTTCATGCGACACGTCATGTCCTGTTAATATGGAGTATTCAATGTCTTCGATATTCGGCGAGTAATCGCTTAAAGGAGTAATGATAATTGCTTAAGGCTTTATAAGCTAAATATTTATTAAATAGCCCATAAATCTTATTGTCTCTACTGAATACCCCACATACAAATTATTGCGAGGGTCCCTCTAGCGCGTGAGGAGCATTCCTGCTTCGACTACGGCATGTTTATTGGGCCGAAATTTCTTGACTTTGCAAATTTCTGAAATTTAAGATTTAAAAAAATCATTAAGTATTCAATATGAAATACGAAATATGACCGAAAAGTGGGAAAATTAGATGAACTGGTGCAAACGTTTTGAACTGTTTACTTTACCTGCGTTAGTGTCCCTTTATACGACGAAGATGAATACGTTAATGAACGATTTTATTAAAAATAATGAAATCAAATTTGTAGGAATTGTTTACTCTGATTTTTCTGGAGATGGATTAATTTATACGTTGATTAATTTGAATTTTAAATAAATACAGTCTCTAATTTTACAAATATTCTTATGTAGACACGAAATTTTATTATTACTTAATATTTCTTGTGTACATATTTCTGTCCGTAGAAAAATTTACTATTTTACATTAATTAAACTTTGGTGAAAATGTGTTCCGTGCTGGTTTTTTCGCCCTGGCTGCAATCCCAAGTTTATGGACTTCGATTTTGCTCAGATAGCTTTTTGAAATCTTGACCTTCCTTTCCGCTGCAGCCATTGTC